AGCCTTAATTAATATGAATTAATTTAAGTGTTAATTGCAAGTGGTGGGGAATGGTTTACGCTCTCAATGCATGTAGAAGATTTCTAGATTTCTGTCTGGCCCTTCACTTACACGGAATGAAAGTGTTGGCACTGCGAGAAAAAAGGGGAAAAATTTTTGAAAGGATAAAGAATCCTTAACGTTTAATGGAGAAACAATAAAACTTATAATAGTCCTGTATTAACAAGAAATATATATATAGAATAATAGAATGATTAAAAGGAGAACCATAAAAGCATAAATTATGTTCTTAAAGCCATACCTAATGGGGCAAAAAATGTTTTTCCAAACATCAATCACTTCAGCAACAGCTCACAATTAGGATTTTCTTGCCCTATAACAAGTAATTAGCGTAGTTTGGAATACGATTCGAACGTTATTCAGCAAAAAGCGGCTTAAGTAATTTAGCTAATGGCTTAATTAGAGCATTACTCAACTTTGCGTATGTTTAGCAAATGAAAATGTATGGGAGAACTTTTCTAGCAGTGCACAAATTTCATTATTCGAAGTTCGAACAATACTTATCGATGGGTCAGATCCTTTTACTTACAATGAAATACAAAAAAACGAAGGCCAGATTATCTGGGACACTTTTACTTGCTGTTGCTTTCAGTAATTAATATTAAGTATACGCCCCGTTTGACAGCTTTCAGTTGTTATCTGGCTAAAGAGCCTCGGAAACGTCACGTAGATAAATAGAGCCACTAAGACCCCGATGTCAAAGAGCGGCTAAATCAAATTTCGCCCGCAACATTTTTAGTTTATTCTATTTTTTATTTCGCCCGAGACCAGATACTCTTCAAGGCCAACAACAAGGTGGACAAGAGTAAATAATAAATAAATATTTGGAAAACGTTTCGCTAACAGGACACGTACTGGGAATTAACCAGAGATTGGGGGGAAGACGGGAAACTAGGGGGATAAGGACGATGGTTTCTGCTAGAACGGAAGCATCTGGCTGTGGCCAAGACGTGCCCAAGTCTTTGTTGACTAAAGCTTAGACTCGGCCGAAAACTTTTGGCCGACCATTAAAGTTTAAAGATGAAGGCGACAGCTTGCAAAACCGCAGAGGATTTGACCCCGGCGAATATAATCCATCCTCGCCCCCATTCCACACACGGACACACTTTTAAACGATTCCCTTCCTCGGGTTTGAGTAACCGCACTGTAGGTTTTTTGGGTTGGCGGTTCTCAAAGCCCGCATAGATTTACAATCAGCTGCTGGTTTTGGGCCTTATGCCACAAATCATAAAAACGCATCCGCACACACGAACATATGTTCGTGTAAGTTCATCATCCGCCCTCCTGCGGCCATGCGGCTTGCGTATACGTGATATTTTATGGGTCACTCGCCTCGCCGTCGACCCTAAATCCCAGGGATGTCCTGGTAGCCGATTTCCAACAAAGCTCGCACTTCGTATTCCGCTGAGGCCGTAAAAATAACCGCTCCTTCTGCCCTTTTTTCCCTCGGGAGCCTTGTGTGAGTCGTGTAAGTGTAATCCTAGCTCAAACTGTATCTCATTACATTTGATTTACAGATAATCAGAGCTCGTAGATGGCGGCTCTTTTCCTAAACACTTTCTCTTGACGGCATTTAGGTGGTGGAGTTAGCTAAGTTAAATATATCTCCCCATCAGGCATTGAAACTTGGGGTCTGCTGGCGTAAGCAACTTATAGAACAATATAATCAAAGTCTTAAACCTAAAAAAAAGAAAATGTAAAAAACCACTGTAAATATGGAACATATATATTTATTAGAGTCAAAATTACAAAGTAAGCTTACTATCTGCCCTATATCTATGTGAAAAATCCCAAAGACCTGTTTATTTTTGTAAAATACTCTATCTTTAAATGGTTACTCTTCAAATAAATAACTAAATTCCCATAAGTGCATCCTAAATGTCCTATTAAAATATGAAATATTCCCCATCGAGTTCACTGTACTCCCATACAGACACCATAAAATTGCATACAGAAACAATTCAATTAACCGAAATGGCAAACGTTTTTACACATCGTTAAATGCCCAAATGCACAGAAATGTATTCTACAAAACGATGTCAAAAAAATTGTTGTGAATTTCATTTATTCCCAGGAGTCTCATATTTCTGGGTGGCACTCTGACAAAAAAGAAAACCTCCGCTCAGTTGACCCGGAAATGGTATGAAAAAAGGTGCAACCACCCACAGCAAACAAATGCATGTACGAGTAGCAGTCAAGTGTCCAACAAATTTGCACAGATTTTTGCATCCGAAATTTCATATGGATCTGGCTGGGGCACAAATGGTAAGCCAACGATGAATATATGATTTATTTTGCAGGACCGACAGAGCCTGAGGAGAAATGCCGGAACAACATTTAACAGAAAACATTCAATTAAATATTACGAAGCGGTTTTTTTCACCAGGCCAAGATTGCAAAATGTTCTCGCTCAAAAGAGCATGAGCTGAAAGCCAAACATTACACGAAAATTGTGTGTAAAATTAAAAAAAGGAATGAGAGCTTGATGTTGGAAATAAATTGAGCAAAATGGTGGCAGCTACTTAAGTGAAAATATTTTTGCGCTTGTAATAACTTGGCTGCTCTAACCGCAGTCTGGGCCTGGCCAAAAGGAGAGCCGAAAAGCGCAACACGAAAGGCGCTTAAGTGCTGCGGCTTTGGTCTAGAGATGGGTGAAGGAAGCTGATGAACCCACGAAAGTCACGCTCAGTTAAGGGGTGCCTTCCATTTAGTGTTAAAAAGAAAAACATTTTGAAAGGTTTTTAGGTTTTATATCTATCTAAGATTAGATTCTGAAACTTGTAAGTCAAAGTTCTAAAAGGTATAGCTTACTTACGGTGGAAAACTCAGAACTTTAAGAACTATTTTTTTCAAACAGTGTATTTTCGGTTGGCAGGTGCAGTGCTGTAAAATACATACAGCTAACTCATGAACTAGGAATATTAAGACATATATAAAAAATAAATTTCCGATTTATTTTGTTTATTTATTCTTTCAAAGTACAAAAAATACCACTTCCTTATTAAATATTAAACTATAAATCCAAAAAGGTTCAAGTCTCTAATATCATTACTCTTCATTTTTTATCCCATTAAAGGTGTTGAAATTTTGACATTGAGAGTACATAGGATCCTTTTAAGTTCTTTGGATTTTTCAAATTCCTTTCCAATAGTGGCATATAATCTATTTTATAATGCTGGAATGTTGATTTGTTTTTGTCAGAAGGTAAATAATATTATGTTTGGAATATTTCTGATTACTCAACTTAAAAACATGAAGGTCTGAGATATTTTCTATGCATATTGAATGAAGCCATTAAAATATTTTCAAAATGCAGTACCCTTTTCGTGATTGCACCGAATCACCAGGTACCATCTCTAGGCAGGCCTTTTAGATCTCGGCTGCATTCATACGTTTTCGATTAAGCTGGTTCTTGGTCTACTTTGCCGAAAACGGAAAGCGGAAATTTACACAAAGAAAGGATGTAGCACACGACCGGCTATAAGACGGAGTCGCAGCTGTAGCCGTAGCTCCTGCTCTGGGCCAGGCCCAAAGTGGGCTAAGATTGTAGCACGGGTATGACTGACAGGCCATTAATTTTGGATTACCCGGCCAGGAATGCTTTGGGGCTCTCCGCCAAGAGAGCCAAGAGTCGTCGACAGGAGGCCGCCGACAAAAAGTGCACATAGCCGTACAATTGCAGGCGGCCCTCAGACGAGGCTGTTAAACATTTCATAATGCCCCGACACACATTTCGGCCGTTCCGTGGTTCGGCGGTCGTTAACGTTAATGACACCTTAAGTGGTCATGTATAATTTCTGTAAATTATTGCCTGCCTATGCAACAAACTGGTAACAATGAAGTGGGCCAAACAAATCTGCCATTGGTAAAAGGTTTAAAGAGTTCACCGTGCTGAAACCTTAACTTCGAAACCGCTTCTGTCGAGATGTTCGGTAACAAATAAAATGTATAGTTACATTTCTTTAAAAAAAAACTGTTTTTGATTTTAAGTATGTGAGAAACGAATCTTTAGAATTCTATAAATATTTGTTTCCATAAAAAAGGCTTATATATGTAAAAGCCAGCTATTTGTAGTCAAACTAATGATTACTTAAAAGCAAAACCATTTAAACTACTTAAATTAATTAAATGATAAAATCTCGAGTAGTAAATGGCTGACCCTTGTGGCAGCAATGACAAAATAATAACATCGGTCATGCCATAACAAAAGGCGACGACAAATCCAATTACATAATAAATCTTTTAAGGGCTTACAAGCCAGAAAACGTAAAGTTTTCATGTCGGCACAAACTGTCGACTCAGATACTTTTGAGCAAGATGCCCGAGCCACTAAACCTCCTTAAACCCGACACCCAAAAGATGTAGGCAGCTGAATTCAATTAATGTAATTCAGTTGAACATGGAAACTAATTTGGCCACCTTTGGCTGGTTGAAAAATAAAATGGCGACTAATTAGGTAATGAATGATCCAGATCCTGGAATTCCGGGAATGGTTTTAGAAGCAAACTTTCCGAAACTTAGAAAGATGTGTCGACTTTAACCCTTGCCAAACTACTTAAGACCAACAAGGAAGTAAATGATGTGCCTCAACTTAAATATTAAAGTGAACTTTGGGCATATTCGCATAAGACAAGCAGTGAAAATGTACAAATCTCGAGGCATAAATCACAATTTCTTTGCCATTAAGACGAGACCGCAAAGATTTGCGGCTCCGCTGAGTTTGGCGATGGCAAGGGAATCCGCCACTGTTTGGTGCCGAACCCCAGCTGTGTCTGTGGTTTTTACCCCGTCACACGACATTTAGCCAACAAAAAAAGTTACAAACTTAGGGCTTCCTTAACTTACCAGCTTTATGGAAGAAAACTTGCTGTCAAACAATAGAACAAACTCTTTCAAACCCTTATAGGACTACTTAAAACCTATCCCATTAGGGTAAAAAATATTTTAATTGATATTAACAATGGTCGACCATATCCTCGCCCAACTTGATACCCTTTGCGATGCTCTCCTTCAAGATCGGCAGCATACAATCCAGGGCCTGCTTCTCCACATCATCCAGTTCGGGCAGTCCTATATTGTCCTTGATGCCCTGTGGCCCCAGGATCAGTGGGGTGGCGAAGAACTTGGCCTCGGTGACATCGGACTCCACATAGGCACACTCCACAATGCACTCGTCACCATCTGATCCCTTGATTCCCTTGATCAGGGAGTTCACGAAGCTGGAGGCGGCGTAGGCCATCGATAGGGTGGCTGATCCCAGTCCATCTTTGGCCTTGACCACCTCTGTGCCCGCCTCCTGGATGCGATGGATCAGAGCCTCTCGCTCCTCATCGGTGCCCTTGTAGGGAGGATCGCACTGCGACAGGATCGGCAGGATGGTGCGACCAGTGTGGCCACCAATGACGGGCACATCCACAGTTTGTGGGTCGACATTGAGTAAATCGCCAACGAAGGCCTTGGCCCGCACCACATCCAGGCTCGTAACGCCAAAGAGTCGATTCGGATCGTAGGTTCCCTTTGCCTTGAGGATCGTGGCCACAATTGGAACTATTACATTGATGGGATTCGTGATGAAGGCCAACAGGGCGCCGGGACAGGCATCGCTGGCCGCAAAGGCCACTTCACAGGCCACGCTGGCATTAACGCCCACCAAATCTTCCCGCTTCATTCCGGGTTTACGGGGCATTCCGGCCGGAACCACCACTATATCCGCCTTATCCAATGCCTTTTTCAAGCCATCCTTGCCCTCGAATGCGCAGACCGTGGCCCGGGTGTTGATGTGCGACAGATCCGCCGCCACTCCGGGAGTATTCTTCAAGTCGTGCAGGGAGAGAGTGGAGATGTGGGGATTTTGCTTGAGCAGAAGGGACAGCGGCTGTCCAATGCCACCCCCCGCACCCACAACGGCGACCTTGAGACCTCGTCGGCAGCCACCGCGTCCAAACTGGAAGGCCCTTAGGGGCTCTCTGGACAACTGGGTAATCAATCGAGGGTTTAACATTTTATAATTTTTAAAGCAACTGGTTAAAATTCGAGTGGGTTACAGTACAAGGCGATGGGGATTCAAAAGGCACAGGAAACGTGATTTGGAGTGCATATCAAATGTGTTTTGTAACATTTTGTTGTGCCTTTGAATTATCACTATATTATTAGTCAGCTCTAGAAATCTTTTAATTTTAAAGTTATTTATAGCAACTTATCTGAGTGTCAATTCAATTAAATACTCTTGTACAAGAATAAATGAGCTACTTTTAAATGTAATTTTTCATGTAATCCTAAACCTCACCTTAATCTTAATCGTAATCTTAAAACTTTGCTATCCTAAATATGAAAGTTTCAGTAAAACAACAGACTTGAAAAACCTTCGTGCCTTAGGCAAAAAAAATCAACGATTAATAATAAAGAGCTGTTAAAATTCATTTTTAGAATTATTTATAGGTTTACAACAGTTAACAAATCTTATTAAACAAATAAACAGAAACAGTTCTGGTTCTTAGACTTAGCTAAAAGTCAGCATCTTAGAACACTAATTTGTTTTTTACCTCTTTCCTTTTAACTGTGTCTAAGTAGTAGGCCTTTCTGTATAAAGTCAAAAGTTGGATTTAGCTTTCAACAACGATTTTATTCCGAGCAAAATGTTTTTACTTGGAGGTCTAAAGTCATCGATTATAATAGCGCCATGGCTTATGGCAGTGCGTACCTTAAAAGTGACAGTGGTGGGCGCCGGAGGAGGCATTGGGCAACCATTGTCGCTGCTCATCCGCCGATGTCCTGGAATTGATGAACTGGCTTTACATGACCTCACCGAGATGAAGGGAATTGCTGCGGATCTATCGCATGTCAGCCAGAGGGGAAAGGTGATTGCTTTTACCGGCGAAGAGGAACTAGAACCGGCTTTAACTGGAGCGGATGTGGTGGTTGTGGCCGCTGGAATGCCACGTCTGCCGGGAATGCAAAGGGATCACTTGATGGCCGCCAATGGCAGTGTGGCAGTCAAGGTGGCAACTGCTGTTAGTAAGGCCTCTCCAAAAGCTCTCCTGGCCTTCATCACCAATCCCATCAACATGATTGTGCCAACGGCAGCGGAGGTCCTTAAGGTCCATGGAACCTATGATCCCCGACGCCTTTTTGGTATCACCACTTTGGATGTGGTGCGCTCGAAAAAGTTCATAGGCGACTCTATGAATATATCTCCGGATGAAGTAAAAATTCCAGTGATCGGTGGCCACGCAGGGATCACTATTCTGCCGCTCATCTCGCAGTGTGAACCGGCATTCAAAGGAGATCCCAAGGAGATCCAGAATCTCACTCACCGCATCCAGGAGGCGGGCACAGAGGTAGTTAATGCCAAGGCTGGTAGGGGATCGGCCACCTTATCGATGGCATATGCTGGCGCCCATTTCGTAGACTCCATGCTCCGTGGAATTGAAGGTCAAGAGGGCGTGGTCGAGTGCGCCTTTGTAGCCTCTGAATTAACAGATGCCCCTTTCTTCGCAAGTCCCTTGGAACTGGGTAACGATGGGATCAAGCGATATCTACCACTTCCCCAGATGAGTGACTCCGAAAAAGAGGCTTTGGAAAAGCTACTACCTGTCCTACGACAAAATTCTGAAGAGGGGATCCAGTTTGCCAAGAATTATTTGAAGGAGAAATCAGTTTCTCCTATCCCAGCGGCTTTACCTTAAAATAGAACAAATTGTCTACTTTAATACCTAATAATAAAATCGAGAAAACTACATGTTGTATTCTTCACAATTGTAATAATAACATATTGGCAAGTTCGGTAGAAAATGGGTCCCCAGAAAATCAAAAAATATATATTTAACAAACTATACAAACTATATAAATAATATCCATACTTAGTTGTTAGATTTTAAAGTTTGATCTCAATATCTTGTATACATTAATTTTGTTTTGGTTGAAAAGGCCAATTTTGTCAGCTTTTAAATGCTTAAAGGCAGTCTAGACAAAGGAGAAAAAATTAATACTGCTCAGGCAAAACTCAGAGTTTTGTCAATGGCAACCGAGCGAGTGAAGGGATAACTTTGCTCGAACCTTTCCAAAAGTGGGTGGAGTTCTTTAAATTCATTTGGTTTTATTCCTGTTTAAATGGCCGCAAATAAATTGCGGCCAAAATATTTCTGTGGGCCAGCGTATATCGTCTGGCAGTAAATTACATTTGCACTGAGACGCTCTCAGCTCGACCTGCTAACAAATTGCTTGGCCATCTCTCGACCCCCCTGCAGCCCCGCCCCTGGAAAACCCAACATCCTTCCCATGTATGTGGCCCCCAAAAAGTAGGCAGAAATTTTCTTCACTTTATTTCACACTCGCACCGTAAAAACGAAAAACACATTGGGTGTGTCCATTTTATCTTGTTGTCCCCCAAACCAAAAAAGAAAGTGGGCGGTGGCACGAAACTTTCTTGCGACCCAGTTTCACTTTCACCAGGAGTTCACCTGGCCAAGTTTTAGTTTTGGCGTGTGTGTGAGTAATTTCACTACTGCGGCTGCATTTGTTGCTGCCACCCATTCTGACAACAAGATAAATTAAGCCCTGGCATTTCAGACAACATTTTGGCCAGTGGCCCACCTACGAACAGAGACCAGAAAATGTATTTCCAAATAAGAAAACATGGGTCCCGAAAAGGTGTCTCAGCTAAGTGGCTTTCCAAGTCATTACGTTGCTAAATAATATGGCATTTAATGATTCGATTCTTAAAGGTCTTTTTAATTTATTTTCGGAAGTATTCAAAAAATATATATTTCTTTAGCCCTCTTTGATATATGATAGCATATATTCTATTCTTAAGGGTCATTTTGTAATTTCTTTTCGAAAGCATTCCGAAAATATATTTTTTTTAAATGGCACTTGAAGATTTTATTTTTAAAGGTCTCTTTTATTTGAACTTCCAAAGTTTTTCAAAGAAATATATTTTCTAGCCTTCCTTCCAAATAGTTTTCCCATAGTTCCTTTGCCATAACGCTTTCCTTTACTTCCCCATAAATTCTCGCTTTCTGGCCTCCGGGCAATTTGTTGGCACTTTGGGGCCGTATATTTCATATGCAACACTTTCCGTTTATGGGTTAACTAATTGCAGGAAAAATCTAAGCCACATCAGCAAACAATTTTCGGCCAAACTACTTTCCCCGAGTTCGGGAGCTCTCTTATTTCTGATTTGGCATCGTTGCTGCTTTCTGTTTATTTGGACACAAACTTTTTGTGGGTCATGCCGAGTGTTTACCTGAGCAGTGGAAAACTTTATTTATTAGCCAAAGTCATTTGGACCCGAGTCCACTTCCGCTGTTGATCTTTCGGGCATATTAAAAAAGTTGCCAAGTAGAAAAATCATAATACTAGAACTGAGTTTTTTATTGGTACATTTCGGTTGGCTTTTAGTTTCACTTTCATTAAAATCAGCAATCGATAAATATGTGTATTTGTATCGATGCCTTAAACGTATATATATATATGCAGGGTCCTCTTTTAGAAAAGATGACGCTGACTTAAATAGTATGATGATATGCTTTATTCACATTCGACTTGTTAACTTAGGTTTTACAAAATATACGTGTGCTATTAAACTGTACTCTTCGAGATTCTGGCAGCGAGTGTATGGCGGTGCGTTGCCACTTTGCACTCACGTTGCAACTGGGTATCGAATATAACTTAGGAATATCGAGTAACTTAGGAATATCGAGTACAGAAAGGGAAAGATAATAGATCAGTAGGTGAGACCGCTTCTAGTGGTCCTTGTCTCTCCAGTACCGCATCCCACAATCGGCCCTCCTGACGCAGGATTCGTCCCGAATGCCTTCATGTACTCTGCGACAGTTGATGTCTTATAAGGCCCATCACCTTCGCCTACCCTTTCAACTTCGTACCTTCCATGGTTTCCTACTCTGACTACTTTATACGGCCCTAGGTACTTTCCTTTCAATTTCAAACCAGTACCATACTGGGTGCGTTTAATGGCTACCAAATCGTTCAACTGGAACTTCTTTTCGACCTTTCTTTTTGAATCAAAAGCTTTCTTGTTCTCCGCTTGGATACTCTGAATGTTCTCCCTTGCTTCCTTCCTTAGTTTGTCGCGTTCATCATCTAACTCTGCAATCAAACCATCCTGTATCAACGACTTGAGCTGGACATCTCCTGAGATACGCATATCTAGTCCTGTTAGCAGTTTGAATGGTGAAACTTTGGTACTCCTTGGCTCAGTGTTGTTTATGATCTGCTGTACCTTACCTACATGCTTATACCAGCACCCTGGGCTTTCAAGGCTTAGTTTGGAGAGCATCGGAACAACTATTTTATGCATGCGTTCTACTTGTCCGTTTCCCCTTGGTACGCCTGTTGCTATCAGCAAATGTTGGATCTTCTCCCTATCGCAGTACTCTTTGAACAGGTGGGATGTGAATGCAGCTCCACGATCTGACACTATCCTATACGGATTTCCGAAACAAACAGCCTGGCGCTCCAAACAAATCACTACTTCTTCAACCCCTGTGCTTCGTGTAGGATACAACCATACGTACTTGGAAAAGGCATCTACAATTACGAAGATGTGATTATATCGTTTTTTGGTTAACTCCATCGGACCAACATGATCGACATGGTATGTGACGAGCGGCTTGTCTCCTTTGTCTATCGGTGTAAGAAACCCTTCTTGCCTACCAGCCTTCGCATTCACAAGGATGCACTCTACGCAGCTATCGACCACTCGTGCTACTTTATCTTTTAGCTTCGGAATGTAGTATGACTTCTCAATCAAATCCTGAGTTTTCTTGGATGAGAAGTGTCCTTGATTGTGACTGTTCTGGATGATTTCGGTTTCCATGAGTGAAGGAACTACGAGCAACTCTTTGTTAGGATCCTTGAACAGAACTTCGTTCACGATGTAGAAGTCGTCATAGCCTTTGGTCTCAACGACACTTTTGAGCACCTTCGTCCACTCATCTAACAGCTGTGCTTCCCGCAAACGATGAAACAAACTGTCAGTCAACGTATAACATGACACCCTACTCAACGCATCGACATGTCTCATCTTCGAACCTGACCTGTGTTCTATTTCGTAGTCGAAATCTTGTAGATACATCGCCCATCTAGACACTCTGAGCGGAATCTCTTTCTTCTTCATGGTCATGGTAAAGGCGTTACAGTCCGTAATAATTTTAAACTTCTTCCCTAGAACGTACACCCGCCACTTTACCAAGGCTCCGATAACTGCAAGTACTTCCAATTCATAGGAATGATACTTTTCCTCACATGGCTTGGTTTTACGGCTCATGTAGAAAACTGGATGCCACAAGTTATCGCAGGGATCTCGTTGAAGCAAAACGGCTCCAAATCCGAACTTGGATGCATCGGTATGAATTTCTGTGTCAAGCGAATGATTATAGAGCTTCAGAACTGGTCCACTGATCAACGCTTCTTTGAGCTTTTTGAATGCTGCTAATTGCTGGTCTTGAAACTCGAACCTCACCTCCTTGCGCAACATATCGGACAACGGCTTGGCAATTACGGCGTATCCTTCCACAAACCTACGGAAGTATGACGTCAATCCTAAGAATCTTTGGACTCCTTTCTTGTCGCGCGGAATCGGAAAATCAGCAACTGCTTGAGTTTTCTCATTACCTGGCTTGATGGTACCGTTTTCAACGACGTAGCCTAAGAAATTAACTTTGCGCTTCAACACCTGACATTTACTCCAATTTATGCGCAAGCCATTTCCTTGTGCCACTTCCAAAACTCGCTTCAACTTCTGCACGCCCTCATCGATACTCTTGCTCGAAATGATCACATCGTCCATGTATACAACCGCGTCTTCGTTCTTGATCGAATCACGCATCACTGCCATGATAAACCTGGTAAACACTGCTGGAGAGTTTGTTATACCGAAGGGTACAAACAGGAACTCATACTGACCACTCTGAGTTACGAACGATGTATACTTTTGGGATTCTGGCGAAACAGGAACGTGAAAGAAACCATTAGTCAAATCTAGAGTTGTAAAAACTTGTCCACCTTGTAGCTTTTCGATCACACAGTCCATTTGAGCTGTTGGGAAGTTATCTCGAACAATCTTTTCATTTAACTTTCTATAATCGCAACACAAGCGCTTCTTCCCGTTCTTCTTATCTACAAGCACCACTGGCGAAGCAAACTCGGATGTACTAGGCTTGATTATCCCTTCCTCTAGCCATTCTTGAACCTGGTCATCGACAATTTTCTGATCGCAATAAGCTAATCGTCTCGGATGTTGGAAAACAGGCAACTCGTCTGTCAATAAGATCTTCATCTCGACTGGTGAAACGAGATTTCTTTTTGGCTTGTAACTTTCGATCAACGACTCCACTTCAGAAGCTACTTCCTGACTCAAGTGCTCTAAATCTACTGCTGAGACTGTCTTAGAGTCTTTCGTGCTGATCATGCACAGACTTTCGAATTCACTAATTAGCTGCATACAAGTACTCTGCCCTGCCTGGTTATCGTCTGATCCTGTCGTTGGTCTTTGCTGAACACTTTGAACTCTTGGCGAAAATATAGTGCCAGACTTGGTTACCATCATGTCAACGCTGTTTAAGATTGTTGTGCCTAAGATTGCGTCAAACTTCATATCGTCATCTGGTATGACATGAAACTCGACCGACATGTCGATTCCATCGATTACAACCTTTGTAACGAA